GCTATAAATCCTGTATGAGTTAGAGACATGATGTGCCACATAGTGCCCGTATTCCATACTAAGAATGTTATTCTGATGTTAAAGGATGCCAATTTTTTGCTAATCATACCTCCAATAAATTATTGCATTCAAACCTTTTTTTTGTTGGTGACAGTTATGCAGATACTATACAACACCACATTTGAATTGATATACTCTTTATGTCACTTTGGTAATGAAGTATGTAAAAAGACTCCAAGGAACATTTTCATGGACGGTCAGTGTCTATTGTGTAAATAACTTAACATTTAATATTGCCTATTCGGCCATAAAAAACTTGTTGAATTCCATTTTTATATTCTTTTTTTTTTTTGTCTCATAGAGACATCGTTTAAAACAGTCATGTAAATTCTAAAACACTGGTGGATTACAGCAGTATTTTTTTAGCATTTTCGTTAATATAGTGTATTATATTAATATCATACAACAAAAATGTTAATAACACTAGAAAAACCAATTTGCCGCCAGTGCAAACAATGTCATTTAGAAATCCCTACATGCGTATAATATAACTGTTTAAAAACATTTATTATAATCTACCAAATTATATAACTGAAACTTGAGCCCTACGTGTAGAAAACATTAAAACCAAACACTGGCTCATTCTAGTAATACAGGAAACATCAATATCAATTACTGGTGATTATAGTCATATATTATCTCTCACTATGTCTCCACACAGGCTGATACTGTCTAATTTGAGGCATTACTAATACTATTTTTCAATGTCATGTGCGGTAGAGACAGAATTTTATTGCATGATCGTTATCATATAAAGGTTCCACACTTTAAAAATAAGTATGGACAACTAAGACATAATGATAATTGGATGATTGAAATTAAAGCAACTTGGTTAGCATACACATAAACATCACTGTTATGGCCGATGTCTCTTAAAATCATGTTTTATGGGTCCTCAGTAAATACTCTTTAAAAAAACGCAATTTTTTAGATTCAACACTTGCCGTGGATGCTCCAGCTTTATGTTGCACATCTTCTTTTTATGTTCCACTGCTTGCTTCATTATTTCCGGCTGTTCTTCAATCTTTTATCGAAAACTTCTCCGTTTTTTCCTCTCGATTAGCTTTCTTCAGATCCTTAATTTTCTTCTCGAAGTTTAACTTGTCCTCTTCCCGACTTCTTTGCAGCTAAATTATTCAGAATAAAAACATGTAATGAACTTTTATTTGGGATGTTTTAAAAATAATTTGGTACATTCCTATACGAAAATCAAATAATATACTGTGTATTTTTGGGTAGCTCATAATCACTATAATCATCTTCATTTTATCACACATAACGTTAGATTACACCAATTTTCACCTTTGCAAACAAGAAGGCTTACATCAGTTTAAAATATCTTATCAAAAATCTGAAGCACCCCCTAGTTTTCTACCCTCTACCAGGGCGACTGATAGATTTTTACGGATATTCACAGATATGTCTCTAGCTAGATAGATTGTCATTTTCAGCATTTTCAGTGAATAGCTTACAAAAAACATTAAATGTACATACGAACCGAGCATCGGTGGAGCATGGATTCCCAGTAACACATGTAAACCACTTCTACTAGATTCTTATATGACTCAAATAAATTCGACATGCCAAGGGATAAACTGAATAGATCACTCGATCAGCCATAAAAGACCTTTAGACTGCTCCTTTCTTTAAATTTTTGGTTGTAAATTTAACCTACTTTCGTGACCTACTTTCCTGCCCCATTGGCATACAGTTTAGAATGCCAGCAGAAAAATCCGTTCAAACATCATTTTCGGGTAAAATTAAACAATGCCATTTGGTAATTCTCTTAGTTATACTACTTGAAACTATATGCTGGTATTTGGTTGGTTTTTGTGACAAAAAATTGACTTTGTATGCATCTTTAAGCAAACGCCCAAAGAAAGCACTAACTGTACTGCGTTTGACTGCAGAATGTGGCTCTGTGGATGGAAAAACTTGCTGGATTAACATGAGAGTGCAAGTTAGGGAGAAGCGAGGTACATGTACCATTAAGATAAAAATCTGAGAGCTCTCGCCTCAAGGTGGATGCACAAACTGGGCTTGTTTATTCGAGAAAATCGCATTATTTACGTAAAATCTTCCTAAAAAACGCAATACAGGGTAATGAGGGTCCAAGATCCCACGGTAGAGTTTTGGTGTCATCTTTTTTTAATCAGAGGTAACGATTGACTCTTTTGCAAGGTCCCGTGTTGAACCTGCTCCAATTCCACATTGTATGTAATCGTAGTTAGTCAACATGTTAATATCAATACATAAATGTATGGACCCTCCAGCCCCAAGGTTCCATAAACATAGATTGTGACAGTGCCACAGCTGTGAGAATTTGGTTTTAGATTCATCTAAAAAAAATTTTTTTAAAATAATTTTAATATTATTATACATTAAAATAAAATTCTTAACATAGGTTGTGGCAGTGCCACGGCATGCAAGTTTTGTAAATTCTCGGTTTAAATGTCTTAATCTTGAAAATCTTCCTTTTTTTCAGGATAATTATGAAACATACTAGCATCGTTCCTATTCGTCTGTGATCAAGAACATACACAGGAAGTGCTAAACATTAATAATATATATATAACGCTCTCAATGCGAGATAGGAACAATGGTGCGCCCCTGCGAGCGACTACTCACAATATAAATGGTTTAGATGTGGATTCCCGTTCTCAGTTGCCTTTTGTCTTTAGGCTCTTTGTCAGTTGTAACACCGATATTGTTTTCGACAACTGTCCTAAATGAGGAAGGCACAATGAAAAAAATCAATATATTATCTCGAAGGGAAATATACCCGTCTCTTTTATTCATGTCCATTGCGCAATTTAAGACCATTCAACGTTTACTTGGCTCGTAAACATGGAGATCGTTCGCGATCTGAATGGGACGAGAAGGCAATTTTTATATTCGTTCAGGTCAGATCATCAGCGGGAGATCGTTTGCCATCCGAGCGAGACGAAAAGGCAATTTTCATATTTGTTCAGAGGACTTTGTTGGCGTAAGATCATCAGCAGGAGATAGTTCGCGATCCGAGCTAGACGAAAAGGCAATTTTCATATTTTCATCGGGAGATCGTTTGCGATGTAAGCAAGAATTAAGTGCAATTTTCATATTAGTTCAAAGGACTTGGGAACTTCGTTCGTGGTAGATCGTCAGCAGGAGATAATTATTTAAAACCCCTCCCCTTTTGAATTTTTTATATTAAATAAATGTATTTTTTTTTCATTTTTTTCTTTAACTCTCCCTCCCCCGCTCACGGCATATGTTCAGCGGAGAATCGTTCGCGTAATATCGTCAGCAGATCGTTCACGATCCAAGGGAGACGAGAAGACAATTTTCATATTTGTTCAGAGGACTTTGTTAGCGTAAGATCATCAGCAGGAGATAGTTCGCGATCCGAGCTAGACGAAAAGGCAATTTTCATATTTTCATCGGGAGATCGTTCGCGATGTAAGCAAGAATAAAATGCAATTTTCATATTAGTTCATTATTTTACCCCCCCCCCTGGATTTTTTACATACATATATATTTTCAATTTATCTTTAACCCCCGTCCCTCCCCCGCACACTGCACTTGGAAAAGGTGGACTCGCCGTAATTTTTAGAAGTTACAGATGGTAAATTAAGAAGTTTATAATGCAAGGTTGCAATTAGGCTTATCTTGATCACTGTCCTCTATCAGGAGGTATGTTTCTTACCGAAAAGACAATTCTCAACTTACTTTTCGGGTAAGTTAATATGTATAACTTAATAGAGTTTTATCTGAATGGTACATGTACCTCCCTCCTCCCTAACTTGCACTCTCATGTTAAGCCAGCAAGTTTTTCCATCCACAGAGCCACATAATAAATAGATAATTATTTACCACCATGAAAGGACAGGAAGTAGTGCTAAATATCCCACAATATATGAGGGACAAGGATAAAAGCCGATAAGGATAAAAACCCGAAGGTCGGACTTTTGAAAGATACCCAGCAGCCACTAGCACTAGCACGCATAGATTCCCTGTAGATAATGTGTATAAAGGCTGCATTTTGTACGTAATAAACACACTTTAAAGGTCTAATTCAAGGTCACAGCAGGATTCAGCCGTTGCTAAATTAAACGGAAGATTCCCTAGGTAATCTCTAGAAAATCAACGGACAGAAAGCAACGGCAAACCAATGATAGTGCAGTGTCAGTCATAGAAATGCAAGTCGGTGAAGAGTCTTAACTGCGTAAATATCAAGACATGGACAAAAAGGCAATTACGACGGGGTTGACTTAAATAAAAGCCTCAATATAATATATCGTATTTGCGAAGTTCAAGCTATCAGGGCACATGTATATGCCCTTAACCTACTATGTTCACATAGGAGGATAGCCCTGGATGCAAGAGTACTCTTTTTAAACTTCCTAACCTTTTCGAGATTTTCCTGGAACATTTCAAATAATCTTTCTGTCGTCTTTGTATGTTCTTTCATTTGCCTCAGATTTTCGTCTTGTGCTGCTTTCTGCATGAGCTGATTTTCCTTTTCATTCAATTCCAAGATGTCTCTTTGCCTCTTTGCTGCAACCTCTTCCATTTCTAATCTACAGATTTCCTGTAACACAATGGGAGTTGTAAATAACAACTGATAAAAATAGGTGTGCACAGGATTTTGTTTCACATAACTTATAACTTACAGTGTAAAACAGAATTTCATAATGTCATTAAATAGAATCAACCTGGGGCTTTTGCACAATGATGACGTCTCTACTCATCGTTACTATATATAAAGCATCAAATTCCCAGGGTAAGCTACCATAAAATCAATGCTACCCAATTCCCATGGCATTCTAGGAGTAACATAGGGGGCCTACTTTGCACATTTCGAAGAATTCAGTCATATCGGATGACTGCAGCCGCTCACGCAGCACATCCAACTTCATGGGTCCTATAGCCTGCTGCAGGTAAGACTCCTTTAGTCGGTCTTAGTCTGATTTCAGTTTTTCCCCTGTGTAGCCATCGGGTATTGGGCTCAGGTGTTGTTTCAATCCATCCAGGAGTTCCTTGAATACCTTCTCACAGTAACGACGAGACCTGTCACGGTTCTCCTGCAGGTAATGTAGCAGTTCCCCACCGGTGATATCTCCATATTCCTTAGTTTCGTTTGTTTGCCTCTGAACTACAATGTATGGGGGAAAAAAAAACTCTTTTCAAACATATTTACTTAAATTGAAATATTTGAAAGTTGACCAAGAGTTGATAGCAATGGTTACCAAATTATCATTTTAATGTTAAAACATTTATACAGTTTGTTGGTTTTACATACGAATGATGCGCATACCTTGGACTGATAGAAAAACAAATACAAATGTGTTGAAAGATGCAGACGCCAAAAGATCGCTCTTTAACAAAATTCGAAAACGACAAGCAAATTTTTTCGGCCACATTATGAGGAATGGGGGTCTCGAGCATGTGATCACTACAGCCAAAATCAGTGGGAAAAGAAGCCGTGGAAGACAACGGGAAAATATCACAGACGGTCTGGTATCCTGGATGGGACTGGAGACGACAGTTGACTTGCTGAGAGCCACTCGGGACTGAGATGTGTGGAGAGACATGATCGCCAACGCTGGCACTGAATGAATGATACATTTTGTAGCAGTTGTTTTATTTAAATATCTTTGAAAAACGAAATGATTTTCCAACCTACCGCGTCTTATTGGTATATTAACCTCGTAAAAAAGGGCCAACCCTAATACAATGCGTAATGTGATGAACCAATGCTGTTATCCATCTTCTAAAACGATTTTTTTAAAAATTAATTGATTGTACAACCAATGAATAAGCTGTCCATCGTACAAATATCAAAGCCAAATGATAGTATTTGGTACAGTATTCTCTGGGTTGGAGGACACACCCGACGCGTCTGTGCGAGGTGTCAAAAAGTTGCGTTTGCAGAGTGATGGCGTTCCACATACAATGTATTAAGATAGTATAAGATTGGTTTTTTGTAGGGTGATCCCTCACTTATCCATTTCTAAGGATATCCCACACATTCTTCATCAGGCTGTGATCTAGGAATTGAGCTGGCCAATGGGGGTATGGATCTGACTGATTCGCATATAACCAGCCTACTATTAAATTGGCTGCACGTGTAGTACTTAGTTTTATCATGCTGAAACATAGATGGGTATTCATGGCCCCTAAATATATTCTCAACAAGATTCCTTAAGTTTTTTTTCAGTACTGAGATGTAAAACCCTGCAATAAGGTTCCCAATGACCACTGCCAGCTCGCCTACACCATAGTAGCCAATTCACCTCATACCATGAATTACATGGGGTGCATTGGCCACTATCCTGTCGATCAGAGGAAGAAAATTGGGAAGACACATCTTACCAGCTCTCGTAACCCCTACGTGTCACTCACTTAATTTTGACAACGTTTAGCCGTCTCTTATTTGAGAACAGGATCATTGCCCAATTGTTGGCAGGAATAAGCAATTTATATAAGATATTTTATGCTAACATATTCGTTTTCCTCACCTATCCTTGCATTAAAATCATTGAAAAGACGCTCGTTCAAATCTTTTATGTCTATATCTAATCCAAATAACTGAAGTTGCCTCTTTAACTCGTTCTGAATATTGTCCATCACAGCATCGTGAATGCTCATTAAGCTTGTTCTGAAAAGAAGAAACATTCAATATCCTGTTAGAGTTGCATTTCTTCTAGTTGCTGGGTACATACATGTCTCACCTTTTTAAGCAATTAGAATATGCAGTTGTTCGTGACACCGGTACCACACGCATTTATTGAATCTTTCATAATAATTCTAAAAGGTGTAGAAAAACTAAGACTGTACTTGAATGTTCTTTAGAGTGGCATCTACATATATAATTTAATCAAGTTTAGGTGCTTAAATCTTACTTTTTAGGGTCATCATCTCTTTCTTCTAAAGGGAAGATCTCATATTCTCTGATGCAGGCCTTGGTGATTGCTTTCTAAATAATGAAAAAAATTATATGGTTATAATAGTGTTCAGCTTTCAAAGTTATTTCATCACACCATTTTTCAAACTAATGAAATTTAAATCAGAAAACCAGACATAGACATCACCAGTAAGTAATAATAATCACAAGTTATTTTAATGACAGTTAACAATTAGAGTTACCTGTATTACCACTACAATATTTTAACGTCTCACAAGACACTTTCATCAGGGAATGGGGCTACACATGTAAGTTTCCCTTTCTCTTTCGCTGTGTGTGTTTGAAAATGCGTCATTATCTTTTGATAACCATTAAGTAGCAAAGTAAAGATTATAGAAACAATGTTTCATTCACTATAACCCAGTATGTCATGACTGTTTTTGATACTTCCTTAAGATAATCTTATTATAATTGTTAGAGGTAGGTATGGCATTGCAGAAGCTTAAGCTTTAATGATTGAGTTTAAAGGGGTGATGAGGGCAATTTTTTTTCTATTAGATGTTGTTAAGTTTTTGTTGTCCTTAACTTATCCTCATACTTAAGAGTGAGGTAAACACCACAATTTAATTTAAAAAAATTCAATTTAAATTTCCTTCCCGTAATGTAAGTGGTTTGTATGTTGGAAGAATTTGACAGTTTATTAAAGCAAAAGTTATAAATCAGGAGTAGCATACGTACATTTGGGGTTATCCGAGGACTTAGGGTACAGGGAGTTCAAAGTGTGAATCTGTTATTTGGTTAAAGCAATAATAACTCTTCCTTTGAGATTCAAAATTCCGCAAGAAATACATTGTAAACAACGCTATCCCATATCTCGAAAGCCTCGCAAATCGCGACCGTGCGCTAATAGCGAAATCACCATTAGTTTCGAGGCTATTATGGTAAGGTCGAGATTAGAGTATATTGTGCACTACAATGTAGTTTTACTTAACTGATCTCCATGTAGTTTCATTTAACCGCTCTCCTAAAAGCCAGCGTCACAAGAAAGGGTGGTTCCATTTGACTGTTCCTGTCGGTTGCCCAACACCTCATTGGTAGGAAAATATTCCAGTCTAAGTTTTCAAATCATGTCATAATGGCAAGGTATAGGGAGTTTACTAATTAAAAAGTAATTACTTTGGGATATTTGGAATTTAATACACTCACAATATATCACACTAGCAAAATGGAATAGCATGCTTATTTCTAGACCGAATGGAGCATCAAGAGGCCTCGGGCAAAATAAGCCACGGACGAAACAGCCTGACTTTTGTTCGTTTCTCTCTCTCTCTCTCTCTGTATGTGTGTGTTAGTTTTTTATACCTACGGTTTTTATATACTTTTTATACAATTATGATGCATAAATAGTATTATATGGTTCAGTAACCTCCCCGGCTGCAATACAGGCTAGTACCCTCCATCCCATGACCGTACAAGACCTCGAATTCGGGTTGGGGTATCCTTCGTCACTTTTCCATTAGTGTTTCTCTTAACTCTATGACGGTGGCAGGCTGTGGGTGGGGGTTATATAGTCGTCTTCCCAGTTCATCCAAGGCATCCTCAATGGAAGAAACGTCAAGATAAAAGCTGGTCACGTGAGAGTCTGGATCTGCTCCTGCTGCAGGTTCGCCTGTGCTCTCCTGGCAGTATGGGGACGGGCGTTGTTCTCCTGTAGCAAGCGTAGGGTGGGATGTTGGTGCATGAATTGCACAACACTTGTCCTTAAAAACCTCTGTATCGATGGTCAGTCAGATTTCCGTCAATCACCTTGAGTTCTGTCCTGGAATCTTCCCAAACAACTGGCCGACCAAATTGGCCATGTTCAAACATTGCCTCATCAGAGAACAGTTCATCATTTTGTTTGTTTATGAGAACCCTTCCATCCGAAGTGACAAACAAAACCAGAACTCGTCAGTCAAGATCTGGTTCCACATTGCCATTGTCCAGTTTCTGTACTGACTACAGTCTGTGTGGCGTTGGACTGCGGCAAGAGATGGTCTCTGATGCGGTCCACGGCATCTGATATTCCATATTAAATGCCAAGTCTCTGTGTTTGGTTTGAGGAATTATTTTGGCTTTGTGCTTCACTACCACCCCTTTTGGCTTACATAATTTTGGCTTGAATTCTTCAAAGCGTCTTTTGGCTAAATCAAAATATTCGCCTCTTTGCAAGACCACAGATTGAAACTTGTACTATTTGTTTTCATACTTGTTATTAATGAGAATTTTTCAGGTCTAAATATCACGCAATTGTTATAAACAAAAGTTTTTGAGTGTTACCTAATAAATTACGTCAATTATTTTATTACAGGACCTTTCAATAAATGTTGCCGACAACGACCAAATATCAAGCACCATAAATTTACTTGTGTTTGTCCTTAATTGATACTTTTGATTATGTAAACTAAACATACATAACATATTTCTCGTACCTCCATTTCCGTGTTGTACTTCACCACCATGTTTCCCAGTATTTTTTTGTGCCTTAACTCTACACTAGCATCCCAGGCACTCTTTATGACAGGTACATCGTCTGGATCATTCACAGCTTGAACATAGTGCTGCAACATTGTGGCAAGCTGATCTCCTACAAAATGTGAAAAAGGGTGACCCTAAAACCTAAATTTGAGACCAATTTGCAATCTCGATGGCATTAATCGTGCACCTTTTTTAAAAGGGGGTGAACAGATCAATCCAAGGAAACACCGTACCTGTTATCTTAGAGTTTACAGCTATCCCTTTCTTGCATTCTACAGCAGACAGGATGTATTCTATAAACTCTCCCATTCTCTCATTGAATTTTGGTCTGATATCATCAGTATTTGCTGCAATATCTTCCAAAACATCTTCATCTCCTGGGCTAGGGAGAACAAATGCCTCCACCTGTTCAAAAGCCCTCAGTATGACCCCTCCTACTTTTTCTTGGTCTGTTTCTTCCTTTCCCCCTGTGTATTTCCTGAAAACCTGGTAGAAAAAAACTTGTTAAATAACTGTGCAGATATGAAATATGAATGACCATCGAGATGATTAAGTGTGATAAAAATGAATGCATTATGCATTATTTTCTGTTTTCAATTTGGATATAAAAAATTAAATTAAGGGGGTGGGCACTCGCCATCAAAGGTGTGTAAACTCACCACTTCCTTCACGTAGTCAGAGGGTGTCATTTCCTCTCCGGTGTCAGGGTGGACTAACTTCAAATAGACGTCTCGAAAAAGCCACATAGAGTTTGGAAACACCCTGCGAAGTGCCCCCATATCTTCTGTAACCTCCTCATTTTCTTTTACCCGAATTTTACCAATAACGTCAGTAAGGACTCTAAATACAAAATAAATTCTTCTTTTGTATATTTTAGAAAAGTGACCAGTGGATCTTCATCATAAACTTGCAGAATAAAAAATGTGCTACTCAAAAGAACTAAGGCAACACCCGCAATTTTAGGAAAAAAAAGTTTGACCCATGTTTATTATTTGGCCAAGAAAATAATTTCTGCTTGTTTATTTACGGTGTGTGATGCTAGTAATTGACAGCCACGAGTGAGTGAGGAGCGGGGAGTGTTTTGTAGAGTAAATGAGTTGATTGGCATGTTGATATGTACTTATACAACTCCATGCAATGTAAACGGAGAGAAGGCTGCTCCAGATTGAAAGAGGTAAAGAGAAAAACGAATAGAAACGGCGCGGAAATCAACTGGAAAGTGGTTCATAAATAAGATGAAAGAATAGTAAAGAGTAGTAGCTTCTACCTAGCGTGACAACTTAAGATATTGACAAAAAAAAAAAAAAAAAAAAAAAACGTTTGACAGCACTAATCTTGTCAGAAATAGAGGGAACAATCTCCGGACATAACTACACAATCAAGCACATAGTATCCGGAAAGGTGATTGGACAAACAGAAATGAAAGGTAAGAAAATTTATTTAGGAGATTATTGTTGAAAACACGTTTGCAATATTTACATGACTTTATTGTAGCCAGCTACACTTTCGAATATCATCTAGTAATGTAGTTTTACAAAGGCTGAACAATGCAAACTGGACATTATCTAAACAGTTTCACCAGAGGTCAGGAATTTGTGGTGCAAAACTTCAATAGCCGATATTTGCGTTGACACTGCAAAGTGTAAGACAGTACCAGAATTTTTAGTCCCTTATTCTTCATGTCGAGAAGCAAAATAAATTTGGTTGCTACTTCCTTACATAATTTCAAAAGTGCCGTCAATGTAGGAAGGAGAATAGAAAAACGACCAGAAGTCGCCTTTAAACGTTTATCCTATCAGAAAAGCACAGCAGGACTAGTGAATACATTTAAGCCCAAAACATTAAGCAAAAAAAAAAAAAAAAAAAAAAAAAAAAAAAAAAAAAAAAAAAAAAAAAAATAAAAAAAAAAAAAAAAAAAAAAAAAAA